CTTCAATCATCTTTATGCTTATGGAGTTAGCATGAAATAACAAAGCAAATCATAGGACGTCTCATTAAGAACTTAAATTTAGGTATAAGAAGTCAGTGGGATTGCAGCAGGCAACCCGGATATTAGCTTATTATAGTTGGTGCGTTATTCGTAAATGATGATTTCTTGCTCTGACAATGAAATTAATATTACAGACGAAAGCCCAGCATGAAGTCATTGGAGTTGAAGGACGGTAAGCCCAGGGCTATCTGGCACAATCCAACGTTCGCCACTCCAAGCTAATCCGTCCTCGAGTTCCGGTAGGTTAAATTTACAAAGTCCTCGTGGCTAACTTTTATTTTGAGATGAGAAGTCGAGTCATACTAAATCACTAAGGGAGTCTTCGACACCCTACTTTTCTTCATATAATGATATGGTATTTCTTAGGCGCTGCCGTTTAGTGACATCACTTCAATTAGTGGCAAGAACACTTCTTTCAGCCTTTACAAAGTTCTCAATAAAGATTTAGGCCAAGAACCAATCTGCCTTGATAATGTTATGGTAGCTTAGACAGCAATACCGGGAATTGAACATCGAGTAAAGTGAATGTAGCCTTAGATAGGGTCAAATTAGGAAAAGAATACATTAAGAGCTCCATTCACCCATTGGCTGATATATGACTAATAGATTAATTGTCTCTACAATTATCTGAATAGGCCACAGGTTTTTACACTACCACGAGTGGCCCTGGATCACAGGGCAGATGTGAATTCCAAAGAAGGCCTGTCTTCTCACATATTAAATTTATAAAGGGATTGCGATGAGACAAACATGCAGTTTTTCCTTAAAATGAAAATATTCTCTAAACGAATAAACTAAAGCATTATTAGAATGTATGGCAGAATAAAATGGACATTTAAAGTAAATCTTTCCTTCAAATTCATTGGCGAGAGCAAGTGTCACTGGTCACAACCCAACACATCTTCCCACTGACCAGTTTGCCCACTTTTTCAAAATTTACCAGTCTCTATTGCAATCATAGAATTGACTACAAAGTGGAATAAAAGTGAGTTCATATGCAATTGCAATACAAAGTACATAAAATAGTAAAGTTACGCCAAAGCTAGTCACACAGCCTTTCTCTCATATATATTAGTCGAGACTGGAAAAAATTGATGACTCTTCGAAGTCCCTAAGAATGCACTTTGTTTATTTATTGATTAAATGCTGCTCAAACCTCATATACAAGAGTTATTTTATGCGATGATAAGTTGGGTTTCGAGGAATCTCTTGTTTCATAATTGTTGAGCTTACTTCCATTTCGAGTGAAAGTTTTGAGTGAAGAGATTCGAAGGTCGGATCCACCAGAAGACGACGGTGGTTTCTTTATAACCAGCTGTTGATTGAATTTACTAAAATATTCATGCTGACGCTGTTTCCGAAGTAATCTCCTTCGATTCCGGTGAAAATGTGCTAAGCTTTCGTCCATCATATGATGAACATCATGAAAGCAAGGTATCATCGTCACAACAAAATTCAAGCTAATGAGTAAAGAAAACTTGACTCTTCTCTTCGTCAAGAAAACTTGATCTATTAGCTTGAATTTTGTTGTGACGATGATACCTTTCTCTGATGATGCTCGTCATATGACGGACGAAAGCTTAGCACCTTTTCATCGAAATCGAAGGAGATTATCTCGGAAACAGCGTCAGCATGAATCCTCCAGTAAAGCCAATCGACAGCTGATTTACAGGAATCCGCCGTCATCTTCTAGTCGATCCGACCTTCGAATCTCTTCACCCAACACTTTCACTCGAAATGGAAGTAAGCTCAAAAAGAGTTATTCTGCCCAAAGCAAGCTTTGATCCCGAGCCCAAACCTAGGAAATTGGGACAGTACTGATTAAATTAAGAAATATATAGTTAATACCCGAGGAACCTTAATTAATATGGTTGCAAATATCAATTGGTTTAAATAAGTTAGATCAATATATAGCTTTATCCCTTGTAAACGGTGGATGAATGACGTCTTGGCTTCAATAATGTCAAGACGCCTGATGAACCTAAGAGGGGCTTCAATCAGCCTTGCTAGTTAGGGGGGTAGTAGAATTAGGGCACCATTTATCGGAGATTGGAAACTATTATCGACGAAATGAACACGAGGGAGACTTGGAGACTAAAAATATCTGTGGTGGATACATTGAGTATGAGCAGATAAGAGAGGAATAGTTCGACCATTTCTTAATTATTAATATGCTTGATCAGAATGAATGGGATCGGCATAGCTCCGATATCAATTATCAACAAAAATACCCTCATTAATCACTCAGTAACAAAAGTAAACAAAATTGCAGGCCTCGTTGCCGATTGAGCCACAGACAAACCGACGGAGAGGAGATGCATGTTTTGCTTTAGCAACTAGAGAAAAAGCAGAATCTGGTGACTGCTCTTCCATGCTGTTTAGACCTGCCGAGCCAGGCGCTTTGGTAGGGTTCTACTCACAAATGGCTAAGCAACTGTTTCATTCGGGCTGACACTGTCAATCAGAAAAAGAAGAGCGAGAAAGCCAGATAGGGGGAGTGGAACAAAAAAGAGGTGTAGGCGGCGAGATGAGAGGGAGAACTAGAAAAACGTGTTTCTTGGCGTAAATGGAAACAGAGGCTAGTAGCGTCAGAGGCGAACTGTATCCAAACCTCTCGAGATGTCTGAAGCACAAAACGCATGTCTGGACGTAATCAAAATGCTTGCGGGTGAGGGCCGCTACTGCGCATGCAACACCATGACAACCTAGAAAAAACCCAAAACGCCTAAACTGTCCAACACAAATATATATATATACATATATATGAAGTCCACCTGTACAGATATTTAGATGAGTAAAATGCAGGCTGGTGTGGACAGAAGACGGCTTGTATTTTCATAAGTCATGAATTTTGACATGGCCAACCAGAGCACTTGTATAGAGTGCAGGTCATGTTCTGAGGGAGGAGATGTGTCTAAATAGATGACGCATGTTTTTGGATGGCCCACCGAATTGCCCTGGATACAGTGCGTACTTCCATATGTGGACTGAAGGAGAAAGTGGAGCACGAAGGTGATGTCGAGGCAACCGCGATAGCAGATACCTGCGAACAATCACGCTGATGCACAAATGTCAGTATTAACATAAGTGTTCAAACATGTGTGCGAATAATTACATTCGAATGTGCTCTTCATCAAGGAAAATGTGATAGTTGGAATTTAATCCTATATTTAAAAGTCAGAGCTACCCCAGTCCGAACACCAACATCAAAGCCAAGGATTTAACTTATGGTTTGCATCCAGGTACAGGTAAACGCATGCATAGCGTACGCATTTGCCATATTTCTTCAAGAGTCGGTATAAGATGATATAGAAAAGCTGGTCAAGCGATGAGCTTGGCAACCACGAGATATGAGGCAACCTTCTACGGTATATGCCAACGGGTATAACCATTAGTGGAATAAAACATCTACATACAACTTCGGCCCTTCTTAGTTCAGAGGTTTAGGATTAAGTGCTTGAAGTCACGAAGAATTTCTGAACAATAAAACAATCAAAATACTTGCTTGTGTTGAGTGTATAAATCGGATATTGCCAAGGCCAAGTTCATGACAGAATAGTGAATTCCAGTAAATTCAGTGACTAATTTGCATTGAATCTAACTACGTGTATCCCCCGAAGCCTTTCGTAGCCAGATTGGCCTCTAGTTTTAACTTTGCCTTATTGTTTCATCAGCATCCCAGATAGATCAAAACCGTGGAAGTGTGGGTTCATAGGCGAATATGTTACCGCCGAAGTTACATCAAACGAGAAAGCTCTTCCTGCATAAAAAGTATGACTTTTAAGGAGAGACAAGACTCTTTTATATAACATGAACTCACCAATGTTTTACCGATATACCATTATGTGCTTTCCAGCAAACACGATCCACCACTGATTTCACCATAACTAACATCTATCAAGAGCGCGCTAATCCAATATATGTACCATATTCGAATGGGTTTTGTATTTTCAATTTACTAAGCATTCGATTATAACATGATAAGCTGCGGTTTTGGGACACACACAGGGCCGTAAATTTTAACAGTGTGGCTGCAACGATCAATATGGTGCATAACATGAGGAACTACGCATATTCTTACCGTCCACTCATGTATCATGCCCAATGGGGCCTCAACGCTATGCACCGACTATCTCGACTACCCAGAAACAACCACGAGGCCTACACAGCCAGCCAACAACTGGAGTGTGCCAACCGATCTTCATGACGCTAGCTCAAGCCGGATGCTCTCTCACACTGACATCCCACCGGTCCAAGCCCCATCAACTGATGGCCTGAACCTTGTCAACAAAAATTGATGACCTGTGTCCCAAGAATGACATCAAAATTGTTATAGGCAAACACAGAGACATCGGATCATCCAGAAATATACATTTTGATTTTCCCACATGCGCACAAGCATCAATCCCACATGCGTAAAAGATGGGTCACATATAAGCATACCATGCACCAAAAACGCGAAATTGAAACAATGTTCTTATTTTGGGAGCCAAGACACTGAGACAGTACAATTCATCAGCACTGTCAAGATTTAGCTCAAATTCACGACTAAATAAACTATCATGGCTGATAAAATAAAGAAACTTAGATGACAAAATTCTATAGGGAAAGCAGGTGTGAAGGGAACTAGCCGTAGTTATTCACTTAAGTAGGCTCGAAAATTGCATTCATAACAACCTCGCACTCCGGATGCGCAGGAAATACAGAAGGTAGTCATCCTAGAAAAAGGACTGAAATCATATCTCTGCTTAATCTCCAATCATTGAATGCAAGTGTAATGCGAGTAGGAAACAATAATTACATCACATTCCTGCTTCCCCGACGGCACTTATGCCTTAATAAGGGAAGGCGGAGCGATAATAGTGAGTGACAAGAATTGTTTTAGCTGCTTATAAGACTGTCCTACTAATATACGGTTTCATATTTGTAAATTGGACCTACAGTAACCTCTAGTCGATATAAAGGCCATTTCAGCAAAGGGATGCATGGTTCGATGGAAACACTCCATCAATAAATCAGATTGAAATTGGTCATGTATACAAAATATATGTGAAGGAAAGTTGGGTTTCGAGGAATCTCTTGATTCATAATTATTGAGCTTACTTTTTTTTGACTGAAAGTGTTGGGTGAAGAGATTCGAAGGTCGGTGGATTCCTCTTGACCAGCTGTCGATTGGCTTTACTGGAAGATTCATACTGATGCTGTTTCTGAGGTAATCTCCTTCGATTCCGGTGAAAAGG